AACCATGGTTACATAAGTAACCTGAGACGTTTTTTCTTATCAGTTTTGTATATTAGGGTTATCTGTTACACCTAATGTTATTAAATGAATGTTTACTGCATTATTTCAGTTTCATGTGTGTTACCATGATGGTGTTTAGCGTTTGTGTGAACGACACTGTGCATCTTCTATATATGTTATTATTTAAAAGCTGGGCTTATTTGTGATGGGCTTTGGTTCATCATGTGACTTTCTCATCACCACCTGCATTTGGTGGTTATCAGTGTATTACAGAGCTACAAAACAGATTTCAGTACTTCAATAGGTTGGTATATTAACATTATATCAGTTAATGAAATAACGGTATTTAACTGTAAATTTAAATTTTACGGAATTTTTTTTTACAGTGTACAGAGCTTGTTTTGGGGGGGGGATTTTGCTGAACATGAAAATAATCTTGTGCTGATAAAATACTGTGAGAAATGAAACATGCACTAATGAAATCACAGCAGCAGAAGAACTAGTTTGTTGTCATTTCACAGTTTTAAAAAGTTGCCTCATGGGAAAATAGTGCAATAGAAAGGTGAAATTGAGAGATCTGTGTGTTTGGTTCATAGATTTTTAGGCACCAACTACAAACAGTGTTCACACAGACTATAAGATGATGACTGATGATGAGGATCCTGTATATCTTTGCGATGCTTCACATAAATCTTCATATACAGTATCCGATGCCCTGACCTAATGGTTAAAAGTTTTGTTTTCAGCAATTCTACTTGCCTAAAATCATCACCAGAGAAGCTGATGTCCAGTTAAATGTACTCAAAACAGATCTGTTTTATTTCACTTCTGATGTTTAAGTTCAATGAGAGCCGGTGCCAGTGTGGTCTGAGCTGAACTAGACGAAAATCATTTCAAATAGTCACTTTTTTTGAAGGGTCTCACTTCACTGCAGTGTTCAGAGTCTCACTTTAATGTCAAAGCCAAAAATGAAAGTTTGTGATCATTTCAAAACTACAAGCTTAAAGATAAACATTGATTAAACCAGTGTTAAGATATTTATTTTTACTTTAACAAGAAATAATGTGTGACTGAGAAACTGTCTGTTTTCCAGTGTTTGGTGATTCAGATGCAGTGAAGTCAGTGTCAGTGACGGAGGGAGGTTCAGTCTCTCTAGAATCGGGTGTTACTGAAATACAGACACGTGATCTGATAACATGGACTTTTGGACATCCAGAGACTCTTATAGCTCTAATCAATAAAGAGGATGGAACCTTCTCTACATCTCATGGTGATGCTGTGGGATTCAGAGACAGACTGAAGCTGGATCATCAGACTGGATCTCTGACCATCACAAACACCAGAACCACAGACTCTGGACTTTATACAGTAAACATCAAAGGCACGAAAACGACCACATACAGATTCAGAGTTACTGTCTATGGTGAGTCACAATTGTACAGGTGTGCTTATTCTGTCTTTACTATTTATTAGAAAATTAATCTTAAGATGGGTTTCTTACCAGTGGCTTAACTTGGATGACATATCGGCCTAGAAAATCACAACTTTTCATTTTCCGTCAGGTCTTAGCTAACGGTCTAATCCGATTCAATGATCTATGCTAAGCTACAGCTAAAAGTGCTACCGCCAGACCCAGAGATCAGCTGAATGGATTCGAAAACTGTTTAACTCTATAGGGAAGTTGGAAAATGAGCCTATTTTCAAAAATAGTGGAATGTTCCTTTAAGCTGGTCAGTGAAACATTGGAAATCATTTCTTTGTACTTTTGTCAATTAAATAAAGGTCAAAGAGAATGAACAAATTACAGATTCTTGATTTTACTGCTTTTTACAAAACGTCACAACATTTCTAAAATTGGAGTGGTTCATGAAAATATAACACTGTAATTTTGGGTTTATGATTCCAAACTGGTGGTCTCTAAGACATCTTTGCACATACTATGTAAAGTTCAGTGTGTCTGTTGTCTGTCCTTATATAATACTATTTCCCAAAATACCAAATTTTATTTAATTATAATGAAAAGTTTAATTCCTTTTAGGCAAAATTTGGGTTAATTATATTTGTGAAGCATTTTTCACAATACCCATAGTTTCAAAGCAGCTTTACAGAGAAGCATATGATCGCGTACTACGTAATGAATGTTTGCAGGGTCTCAGACACACTTGAGGGGTCGAATATACTTGAGAGATTTAAATATAAATCCGTTTTTTTAATGTTTAAATCCATATACCTGACAACTGGCCCATAACACTTTTGCACAGACTACTAATTTTTCCTTTAAAAAAATGTGAAAATGTAGTTTAATATGGTTTAAAATTAGTATTTCCATAAGTTTTAGAGGAACATGTTAGACTGAATATATTATACGATGTATTTTATAAAGTTCAGTTTATACAAGTGTCATGAATAGATACATAAAATTCAAAGCATCTGATGAGATGCGAGTGTATAATAGTGACTAGACTGCTGTCAAACTCCAGAAACATGAGCATCATAGAGGAAGAACTTACCTCAGAGAGACAAATTACTGAACAATATATCATGAAGCATTTCAAGATTTCAACAATGTCTTGACAATTATTTCCTAAATATTTTTCTCTTTATTCCAGCTCGTCTGCCTGTTCCTGTCATCAGCAGTGACTCTTCACAATGTTCTTCATCTTCATCATCATCATCACAGCAGAATTGTTCACTGGTGTGTTCAGTGGTGAATGTGAGTAATGTGACTCTCTCCTGGTACAAAGGAAACAGTTTATTGTCCAGCATCAGTGTGTCTGATCTCAGCATCAGTCTCTCTCTACCTCTGGAGGTGGAATATCAGGATAAAAACACCTACAGCTGTGTGCTCAACAATCCCATCAGCAACCAGACTCAACATCTGGACATCACTCAACTCTGTCACACATGTGCAAGTATGTGAATGGTAAAATATTGCTTTTGACAGCAAAAGCTTCATCTAAAGTAGCATATGTACTTTACAAACTCAGCTGAGCTGCTCTTTATAATGTTTGTTGTAGATTAGACACATCCACTCACACCGACTCTCTTTAGCCACTACAGCACCAGGCCCACAGCCCACTTCAAACTCTTCTTCACATTCTCCAGGCTCTGAACCTCTGATAGTGTTGACTTCTGCTGCTGCTGCTGTATCTCTGTTGCTTTTAGCTGCAGTCGGGATCTTCTGCATCTACAAGAGACACAGAAAAACAGACCAAGAAGGCAAGAGTTTCCTATTGCTGACACGTCTGTAAAAATATGAATACAATAAAAAAAGATCAGATTTTTTTTTATAAAGAAACAAATGTAAGATTGAGTTTATGTTGTTGTGTTGATTTAATTATTACTGTTGAAACAGATCAGACTCGTAATGAAGATATCACTTACGCTGATCCAACATTCTACAAAGGAAAAGCACAGAAATCGGTAAGAGAATTTATAACTGTGTCATTAATGGATATGTATTAAGTTAGATGTTTGTCCCATAACCGTCCATACTTATAACAATAATAACAATAATTCTAAACAATAATAATAAATATTTATAAAAAAAACAATAATTATTATTTTGATTAGTGATAATATTCATAATTATGAATGATTTTTATTATTAAGTAAATACTTTATTACATATGAATTAAGTATTTACTTAATAATACATTGGAAACTAATGTCTATAATACATAATATTCTAAATTTATTGTGACACTTCCTACAAGAAACCCAGTGTGATTCTGGGGAATTTGAGAGGAACTGACTTCATAAATAAATATGCCTCAACAGTATAAATGTCAATTATGAAAAGATGACATTTTTCTGAGAAAATATCCTGAGGCAAAGATGGTAAATATGAAAACAGGAAGTCCACTAGAGCCCAGATTGATTAAAATAATATTAGGGAAAGTAATCAAGTAAACAGTTGGTTATTTTTAGTGAAAGTAAAATCGAATGTGTACATTTATTTGATCCGTGCATTAGGTCTTAAAGTGACAGCAGCCTAGCACTCACTACTCTTGACTGAAGAACTCTAGTAGCTTTAATAATGATTAATAAATTTTTTATACAGTGAAGACTATGCAGTATTTTAGATTCTGTAGTATTTTTATTTCATCTTCATTTCATGTAACAACCTTATTTCCAGCACAAAAAGTGAAGTCATATGGCACACTCCTGGATTTAATAGTTATTCAGTTTAGATTTGAAAACATTAATTTCATTAGAGAAATGACCAAAGAGAAAAAACAGACAGGAAAAAAACATGGTCAGGGTCTGATACAAATCTCTCAACTTCATAAAAACAACTGTTAAACCACTTCTAACAGTTAACATGTTATGGTTTAGTGTGTTTTTGCTAAACAGGCACTGTTAAACTGTTTCACGGAAAATGAGGCCTTCAGAAAGCCAATGAGAGAAAAAAGTTGCACATTTTTTGCTGACTTATGCATGAATATGTGTGATAAAGAAAACATGAAAATTAGACCAAAAATGTCACTGCTGTCTTGTATAAGGAGACAGGTTAGATTTGTTGCTGTGTAGAATTGACTAAAACAATCGTAATAACCTGAATTAAACACCCCATGTAAAGCACCGATGTAAATGGCCTCTGTATATTTATGCAATTATAATTTTTTATGAATAAATAAATGCTATATCTATTCATTGGCCACAAATATAGATTGTATTGAGAGGGGACCTCTACCCATCATGCTAATGTTCATTGAAATATGAAGTTATGTTTTAATTTAAACAGTAAACCTATTGTGCAGCACTTTGCAAAATATGCCAATTAAACCATGTTAGATATTTTTGCTCTTTCCGCCCAGCACAACTTAACGTGCTGAAGACTACCACACCGAATGTACCAGATTTCATTGGATCACGCTTACTTTCCATTCCGTCTGTAACTCTGACCGTTTTCATGAGCGGGTTTCCGAGCACCTCATGTTTGGTCTTTCCTCAGGGCAGTCACTGACTATCACCTAAGCAGATGACAGCTCTGTCACAGCAATAGCGCTGTAGGCAGGGTGAGCTTAGTGATTTGGAGGCCCCAACACACCAACTATGTGCTCTTTTTCTTTTGTAACCCTTATTATTATGCTCTCTCTCTCTCTTTTAATTTAGAGTTTATTTAGCCCTTCACAACTTGTCTTTATGGGATAGTGTAAATTCAGTAAATAATTAGTCAACCTGTTGTTATTCTAAAGCCGTATTACTAGGGCTGGACGATATGACCTCAAATCAAAAACTCAATTAATTGAACATTTTAGGTCGATTGCGATTAATGAACAATGTTTTAATAATAATATATATATATTTTTTTGCCTTCACAAAGGCAAAAATATTTGTTTTCACAAAGAACATTGCTTGAAATGAAAACGTCACATTTCAATTTGAATGTAAAAACAACAAGTTTCCTAAAAAAAAAGAAGCAAATAAATAACTTGAATTTTTTTGCAAACAAAATTAATAAAGACATGGTTTTATGTTTACGCAATGCGATGCAACGCAACACATAAAAAGACAGTATAAGTCATTATAATCAGTAATTATGTCCCCACTGGATGCAATGAATGCCTCGTTTGTAATGGGTTTTATTGGTTTTGTCTCGTCACGCCGGGACATGGCATCATCAGTATGTAAGGGGCGTAACATTTCCGTCACACGCTTGAGGTATTCGGCCAATCACAACGCACTGGATAGCTGGCCAATCAGAGCACACTTCGCTTTTCAGAACGATGAGCTTTGTAAAAATCGACACGTTTTAGAAAGGCGGGGCATAGATGAGAAACAATAATGTACAGTATGAGGAAAATAATGTGTTTTTTTAACCTTAAACCACATAAACACATTTCATTACACCAAATACACAAAATAATGTTATTTTTTAGCAACGTCATATGACCCCTTTAAATATTGCCATGTCAAAAGTAGAAAATAACTTGTATCTCTTGTAAATAAATATTATTTTAAATAATGCAATGTGAAAAGTAGGAAATAATAACTGTACACACATATTTCAAATAATACCATGTGCAAAAATGTAAACAGAACACTGCTGATTAAGAGCAGGAGCAGGGATTGGACAGGGCATCTCTGTGTGCTCACAGTGTTATAGACATGAATCTGACTCATGATCATTTTTCTTCCTCTCAGTGATCTTGTCCTGTCACTCTATATGCACAAGTATTCACTCTAGGTTCTTACTAAGAAACACCTAACATTTTCACCTTTTCAGGTTTCAGGCAGGATCTGAGGCATGGATCAAAGTTTCCTCCTGAACTGAAAACCGCTCTGATGGGCAGCTAGTGACTGGTATGTAGAGATACTTTTTTGCCACCTTACTTGAGAAGAAAAGTGGTCATGATGCTTACTCCACCATTCCAGTGGGGTTTCCTCACTATCTAGCATGGGGGACACCAAGTAGTTCTTCCCAATGACCTCTTTGGCTTCTTTGCTTCTGATGAAGTTGTAGAGGGCTCTGTACTCTCTGTGGGACTTTCCCTGAGAAATGCAGCTGCTGACTCCTTCTCTGTTTTCACTTTCTCCTGAATGGTGGGGACATGGTGTGCAGAGATGCATGTCGTTTTAAATCTGGGATCAACAAAACTGGCTGTGTCCAGTAGATCTTCTGTGATGGGGTCTGGGCTATTCTCCTTAAGGTACTCAAGGATGCTGGTTTTGATTGTTTTGCTCAGCTCCATGTCATCTTCCTCCTCAGCCAGCACTTGTGAATTGAGGATAGGATAGGTTTCACCAATGAAATGGTCACATTCTCTTCTCCTGACAAGGCATCTGTGAACTCCATCAATGGGGAGACATTGACAGCATCTAAGACATCCAAGGTCAGCCCAAGATGGAGCAAGGTGCCTTGATTTTTTTTTTATCACCAGCAAGGACCTGTGTGATGGCTTTCTTTTGCTCAAGAACCCTTGCAACCATCATTTGCATTGATCCCCATCTGGTGTCACGTGCCATTTTCAGCTTGTGTTGTGGCAGCTTCAGCTCTTGTTGTGCCTGCACTAATGCCTTCTTTTTTTAACTATAGGAAAAAGCACTGACTATGTTTTTGCATGCCCTCATTGCCAGCTCCACATGTTGATCTTTCATTCCATTTTCTGAAAAAAAAGACACACACAAAAAAATTATACCTGAAGCTTTTAGAAAATATAGCAAAATTAATAAGAGGAGAAATGCCTCAAACTACTTAATATCAGATTAATAACACTTATAGAACATTTTTTATTCCTTCTCTAATGATGACTCAATGTACTGTAGCGTTTTGATACACTGAAGTTTACATTGTAATATCAAGCACATTACATCATTAAAAAAGGTGCTATATGAACAGTGTTTCTTGTTACAATATTTATTTAGTGTGCTGAAGCAAAATACTATTTATATTTCACCTTTTTAAACACATGTAACAAAGTGCTTAACAAGAACACCAGCACATTAAAGAAAAGGAGAATAAAAACAAGTAATATAAAAACATGCAGACATGATCATTTATGACACATACAAACACAGACAGGATATAGTAGCCAGTCACCACTCAGATATGTCCAATTCGATTACTGAATATTATAGCATTGTGTTTGTTAAGCTGATGTGCACTTACCGATAGCTAGGTGCAGCCGGTGTCCGAAACACCATTGCCGTGTCCATCCATTGAGCTGTGCAGCTTTGCCACATTAGCGCCGTTGTGTCGTAATGCCCACGAGGTTCTCTTCCGTGAGATCCCATGCAGAAAGCATATCTCTCAGGCCCTGTGCAATCATCTCTGTCATGTGATTAACTGGAAAATATGCTGTCTCAAGGCATCTTTTGCACAACTTCCGTTCATCGTCATTGTAGTGCAAAGTAAGGCTCAAGTCCAGGTCCATCCATCGTCCTACTTGACCAGAGATCAGATGTGGCTGCAAAGTGCTGAACAG